TGCTGTGCCTGAATCATCAGCAGAAATGTTTCCCTTACAGTGTGCTGGAGCATGACACCTCAGGAAAAACATGGCAGATCACCATTCCTGATCTCCTGGGAGCCTCAGCCATACGGCCAGCACCCTCAGAAAATGAATCCTTGGGATTTTTGATCTGATTTAGAGCATGTGAACCATAGTCGGGTAACCCGACTGACCAGCCCTGCTGCCAGGAGGTGAGGTGGTTGTCTGGCTTCTGTCTTGACCGTAGTGGGGTTAGCCTGTAGTGGGGTTTTGCTTTGTTTTCCAGTTATTCCAGTTTCTGTGTGCACAGACGTACAGAACAGACTGCAGGACACGCTGGGCCGTGTGCGCCAGCCCCTGCGTGCGCTGGCGCATGGATTTATTATCAGGAATATATTACACTTATCTGTACATCGTAACTGAAATCATACAAACTCTTCCTGTAATCATTAGCCACATAGTAAACGGGACCACAGAACTCCTGCTGCGTGGGAAGCTGTACAGAGGCTCCTCAGCGTGTCCATGGGACACAACCACCATCAGTGCAGAGATGTAAAATACCTGATTTTTTACCTGATAGTTTTTCCTCCCTCCTCCCTCCTGCCACCATGGCAAGTCTTTGCTGCTGTGTGTCTACCAGTTTGACCCCTCTGTGCCAGCAGCTGCAGGAGGTGCCACCCCAGCAGGGCCAAATGGTGCTTTCCTGCAGAAAGGTGGAGCTTGCCTCGAGGTCTCCATGCCCCCTCGCTTGCTGCTGACTCTCCATGGCCATTACCTGCTCCTGGTGCCGGTCTCTGGAGCCCCTACAGAGCAGCTGTAGGCTGGTTTTATTGCCACTGCAGCCTTCTACATTGAATAAAGATTAACCAAATCAAACAACTTCTTTTTAAAGTTGTAGGGGCAATAAAACCCTTTTGTGTTCAGTGCTGGCTGCGTTCCCTTTCCTGCCAAAGGCCACTCCACCGTTCCAAATGGGAAAGCCCCCACGTTCCAGCCCCCCCAAAAGCAAAAGCTTCCCCTTGCTTGCCTTTGAGCAGGGACAGCCAGGGAGCAAGGACTAGAGATGGGGCTCCCACACGCTGAGAATGCCACGGTCACCTTGCAGGTCCCTGGCAAGAGCAGGGCTCACCGGCTTGGCCATGCGTTCCAGGGTCTGCACCCCATGGGAAGAGCTGCCCCACTCAGGGGCTGCTCCCTTCCTCCCACTGCCTGAGCAATGTGGGCTTCTGTTTCACACCTCCTCCAGCACGCAGAGGCAAGGAGGGACAGGACAGAGGGAGAGCAGAAAAAAGGAATAACTTCTTTTTTTTGGGAAAAAGGTCTGTGTTTCTGGGCTTGCACCAGAAGGAATCACCCTTCGCAGTTCCACCGGGATGGCTTGCTGGGTCCCTTCTGGTCAGGCAAAACTTCCTGCAGCTTTTCTAGCTATCAGGCAGGCCCCAGAGGCCGTGCCAAGGAAGAATCCAGTGAGAGGCAGGATTGGGAGGCAAAATTTAGATGAGAAAGGGATTGGCAAAGATACCAAATGGTGGACATGGGATGGGTCCCAGTTTTCCCACCATAGAAGCCCAACTCCCAATTCACTGCTGGAAGCATCTCTTGCATATGAATTTAAACCAACAAAGTAAGGAAAGCACCAGAAATAGAGGGAAATAATGAATAAATTAAAAAGGAGTGGGCTCAGCCAGCCCATCCTGGGCCAACAGTATGCTCTAGTGTGTTTACCATTGAAAAACTGATTTGCATTATGGTAACATCTCTGGCTGTATCATCTCACCTATTTTTAGAAAGGGTAAAAAGGAGGACCCTAGAAACTACCAACAAATCAGCCTGACTAATCTGGTGATCTTATGCAATGGTGTGACTGCATAGGTGGACAATGCAAGAGCAGTTGTCATCTGCCTGGACTTCTGTAAGGTCTTTGACACAGTCCTACGCAACATCCGCGTTGCTAAGTTGGGGAAATATGGATTTAATGGATGGATGTTAGATACAGAATTGGCTGGATGGCTGCATCCAAAGGGTTGCAGTCAACAGCTCAAGTGTCCAAGTGGAGGTCAGTAACAAGGGGTGTCCCTCAAGGGCCCATATTGGGACTGGTACTGTTTAATATCTTCATCTGACATAGACAGTGGAATCAGGTGCACCCTCAGTGTGAGTTGGCAGATGACACCAGGCTGAGTGGTGTAGTTAACATGCCAGGGGGGCAGGATGCCATCCAGAGGGATGGGACCTTGACAAGCTGGAGAGGTGGATCCATGCCAACTTCATGAAGTTTAAAAAGGCCAAGTGCAAGGTCCTGTACCTGGGCTAGGGGATGAAGGGATTGAGAGCAACCCTGCAGAGAAGGAGCCAGGGGCACTGGCGGATGAAAAGCTGGACATGAGCTGGCAATGTGCACTGACAGCCCTGAAGGCCAACTGTGTCCTGGGCTGCATCAAAAGAAGCACGGCCAGCAGAGAGGTGATTCTCCTCCTCGGCTCCACTCTTGTGTGACCTCCACCTGCAGTACCATGTCCAGCTCTGGAAACCTCAAAACAAGAAGGACATGGACTGTTGGAGTGGGTCCAGAGGCAGGCCACGAAAACGGTTAGAGGACTGGAACATCTCTCCTATAATGAAAGACTGAGAGTTGAGGTTGTTCAGCCTGGAGCAGGGAAGGCTCTGGGGAGACCTTGCTGCAGCCTTTCAATACTTAAAAAGAGCTTACAAGAAAGACAGAGAGAGACCTTTTACCAAGGCCTGTAGTGACAGGACAAGGGACAATAGTTTTAAACAAAGAGAGGGTAGATTTAGATTGGACATGTAGAAAACTTTCTTTCTGATTAGGATGGTGAGATACTGGAACAGGTAGCCCAAAGAAGCTGTGGATGTACCATCTCGATCAGTGTTCAAGCTCAGGCTGGATGAGGCTTTGAGCAACTTGATCTCATGGAAAGGGGGGATTGAAATGAGATGATCTTTAAAGGACCCTTCTAGCTCAGATCATCCTCTGATCTCACTGTATCAGCAGGACGATACCCTGTATTGGCAGGATGAGACATGACAGTGCAGCAGGTCTTGCAGGTATCTGTGCATTTAGCAAGTGTGAAAGTGATGAAAATTGTGCTTGGCAAGAAGGGGCTCTGTGTGCATGTGTGTGCTAGGTACCTATTTTACTGTCAGCTCCTACTTGCTGGACACACTAAAATCTAGAAATGCATTTCAACAGTTGGCATGGCATGATCTATTCTAACAAGATGCTTCATTTACTCAGTATCACAGTATCATGCAAAAGCTGCTACAAAAATAAATTTCTCTAAAAAGGAGAAAAAAAATCTTTTTTTTTTTTTTTTTTAACTGCTGTGGAATAGGCCACAGCTGCTTTGAAGCTGTACCTAAGCTGCAGTCTGAGAATCCCAGGTACAGCTCCCACCCGGGCAGGCTGTGCAGAGCCACCTCTGCTCACGCAGGGCGTGCAGGCAGGACAGACCACTCCCCAACCCCGGGGGCTGCTGCACGGCTGCCTCCTGCTCACTGCGACCCTGGTGCTCAGAGCAGGAGTGCACACAGGGTCTCTGCCCCAGGCTGGATAGAAAAACATCCCCCAGATCTCACTGGGGTTTTTTAATGATGCTCAGGGATGCTTTTTGTCTTGCTAGCAGTGCTCACGAGGGCCCTGCAGCCCGTTCCACCCCAGCTGCTCTTCATCCTTGCCACCCTTTTGGGTGAGGGTCACCCCATCACTGGGTGAATTGTTTTGCTTCTGGGTGGGAAAGCTAAAGGTAGTTTAGCCACTCTTTTCCATGAATCTTAAAAGTGCTCTGTAACTTTGGGTAAGCTTTAGCAATGTGAAATAATATATATATGTGGAAGGAAAGAAATTCTGACCTCATTTGTGCCCATGTAGTCTGCTGTGCTCTGTTTGGTGTTTCAGATGGGAAGAAGCTACAGCCATAGCAGGCACCCAGTATCTCATCCTAATACTGAAAACCTCTTGGCCAGCAAAGATCAAGGACAAACAACTTATTTTCTCCTTCTTCCTTAAGGGACTTGAAATAGATCAAAATGCACAGGAGCCTATAACCAGAGGTTTTGACTGCATCCAAACCAGGACAATTTAAAACAAGGTAAGATCTAACTAGTGTTCAAAGACACTAAAATTGAAACATGTTAACCAGTAACCTCTATGAAATTTGCTAAACCCCTCAGGTTTCTCGTCTCTAGCTTATCTCCACTTAAAGGATTGATGCTAAGAGTTAAAAAGCAGCGAATGGTACATGTATCTTATCTGGTGTTCAATGCAAAGGTAATGGTTTCGAAGGCAGTACTGTCTCAGAATTTCAAAGTCGCTGGTGTTCACATAGTGTACCACTTGGTGGTCATTTGGAAGGCGCTTCTACGGCTGTGTAACTTTCTTCTAGGTTGGGTATAAATATTCCTGGGAGGCTAAACAGAAACGCATTTCGTTTAGATACAAGTCTTAGGCACAAGTTAGAAAACTGCTGACTGTAATGAAAATATATCAGCACTTAATAGTATCCAATAATATAAAAAAATGCAATTCAGAACATCTTCAACTACATATATATGTGTGTGCGTCTATACGTAGGTATAAAGGTACAATAGGTACATGTATATAAACACAGACACATATACAGAAATATTCACAACTCGAACTGTATTTTTTACTAACCTGAAATACTGCAGCAGAAGTTCATTCTGATGAACCACTAATATGGTATTTTCCAACTTTTGGCTCTAACCACATTTAAATTGTTAACACATCAAACTAAATGTTTTGCTATCCTAAATTTCTGCTGTCCTAGCTTTTGCTATCTTTTTCTTTTTGCTACTCTAATCAAGGTGTCAGAACCAAGAGCTCCTGTAAGGTAGTGTGTGAGTCCCCTGCCTAGTGCAGAGCTCTGCAGCTGCCCAGCATGCTGGCAGCCGTGAGCCCGGGGTGCTCCCCGGGTGGTACCCTCTAGCGGACTGGGGATGCGGAGCAGGCAGGGGCCTCACTGCCGCAGGGTTCTGGCTTTTGCTGGAGAGGAGTTCCCCGACGAGCAGCGATAGAAAGAAGTGGATGATGTGGGCTGGAGTTTCACCGGGCTCGCGGCATCCTCCTCCTGCAGTTTCCAGAGGAGCTCCTCGTTAGTCTTGCTCAATTTCTTCTTCTCCTCCATTTCCTTCTCGACGTATTCTTGGAGATTAGCGTTCTCCTCTGAGAGTTGCCTGGGGAGGGGAGCAGGACATGTAAGGCACACCTGCGTGAAGGCAGTGGTACTAACACAGCCGATGCCACACAAGGGGCAGGGCCCTGAGCACCTCCCTGCACCCCATCCCATCCCTTCCCAGCGACCTGCCCCTAGAGCTGCCGTGGGGCTGCCCAAGCTGGGGCACGGCTGTCCCTGGGTCTCTTCACTGCCAGGTGAGAAAGGCATCTCCACCAGTCACAGTGGTCCCCCAGTGTCTGACTGCCTCCAGAGGCACCTGTGTCTTTGCTCTATGACTCCTTGAGGCAGCTCAGCTGCCAAAGCCTCGACGGGGTGCACCCCAGCCTTGCTCCATGGCTTGTGCAACTGGAAGCATCATGCGCTGCACTCAAGGATGCCAAGGGCTTTGTGTGTTGACCACATACTCCAGAAACTTCAGGAATGGCTATTTTTTTTTCCCATACAGACAACAGAGTAAAAATTGGAAATACTTAAAAGAAAAAAAGTAGCCTATTTGTTTCTTTATTTGTATCTGAAAGTAGAAAAAAATGCAAGGCTCCAGTGCACTGCAAAACAGGATTCTCCACTCATAGACAGAGTGGGTGGAGAAGGTAACTGGAAACTTAGGCTGAGATAAAGTACAGGTGCACCCTCCCCCTCCCCCCAGCACTGTCCTTCCCTGGTTGTATGGGTTTGTGAGCAGGGTGGAAGCTAAAGAGAACCCCATTGGTCCTTATGGTGGGCAACCAGGACTGTAGAGCACACCAGCTCCATGCCAGTCCCACGCTGATGCCCAGCTTTGGCCAGTGGCATCTGGAGAGGACTTCAGAGCTGATATATGAGCCCAGATATATATCTTGGAGCTATAAATAGGCACAGTGGTTTCAGACATACCCTTCTCATCAATGTTTGCTTGTGACTGGGTTTTGGTCCCCTGAGAGCTACCATGTAACAAAGCTGATCAGGGTGTTTTCTCCATGGAGGACGCAGGTGCCCAGCATGGGTTTGTGGCCTCTGCCTGCACAACTGGCACAGCAGGCATGTGACCCAGGAACGTGTCCATAAACCTCCATGGAGCCAAACCCACCCCCCGAGGGAGCCCATAGCACTGGGTCAGTGGGCACTTGTGTGCCTTGCACGTGACCCCCTGGCCAGGGCTTCTGTTCCTGCACCAAGAAGACAAGGGGCTTCAGAGATCACCCCAGCACGGCCTGGCCCAGCAATGGCATCCCAGCAGATAACCAATATACAGCACAAAGCACTGGTGAGCTCCTTAAATCCTGCTTTCTTTCCAGCTTCAATGCCTGGCTCCATCCACGTTTGCCCTGTGGTGTTTCACAGCCCAGAGGTGCTTGTGATGCTGCCCCATTATTTCCCGAGCAGCAGAGCAGCTAGAGCAGTCCCCAGAGGGTGACAGTCCTGGGGTTTAGGCCTTATTCTGACTGAGGACAAAAGTCTCCATGGCCAGCTGTAACTCTCACTGCTGTTTCTCAGCTCTGCCACCAAAGCAGCACCAAGAGCGAGAGAGTGTTTGTGGAGTGGCAGAGCAAGAGCAGGGAGGTGAGAGGCAGCAGCTGCACCCAGCTCTTCATTCCAGCTGATGTACAGGATGAGAGCTCAGCTTTGAGGCCTTCCCTCTCCTCTGTAAATGGCTCCTTCTTCAGCTCCTCCTCAAGGAATCTCTCCCTCCTCCTTGGTCCTAACAAACCCTCTGTCCTGACTGCAGCACAAGGGACACTTCACCAGCAAGTACCAGGGTGCTGTTTTCCCCAGAATGCCCTATAACCTGATGGCTTTTTGGGAGGTGGGGCACAGAAATCTCTTATGGGCACCACAAGTTCAGTGACTCTGCTCTCCTCTAACCTGGTGACGGGTTTCAAAAGGAAAGGGGCAGTGTAGGCAGACTGTGGGACAGGACTGAGGTATGTTTTGGGCATGTGCTGGCAGCATCCCCATCTCAGACAGTGCATGCAGGAACACCTGGCTTCTGCAGCCCCAGTGTGCTTGGGCAGGAGCCAGGCCCTGGTGTGAGCAGCCTGGAGCAGCTCTGGGCATGTACCTAACCCGATTTACAGCCAACTTGGGATTTTATAGAAATAAAGAGGGAGACACATAGCCTCCCCCCTGAGGAAAGGAGGAGCAGCACTGGGGTGTGGATTTAGGATGCACCCATGAAATTCCACACAACAACTTTTCTGTGTACAGCCTAAAGCCCATAGCAGATGTCATGAACTGCTGCTCCACTTTCCTTGTGTTATCAAAAGCCTCTGAGAGGGTGGGGTTGGCATTTCAGATTTTGTATAAAAAGTATTTTAAAATATGTCCTGCTTCTTTAGCTTTAGTTCCTACAGAAATGGAGCTCAGCTGAGAAGATGTTTCTGTTCTACTCCCTGAAAGTTTTCAACCATGAAGCAGTGACTAGCAGAGTCAAAAGATTAAAAGACACAAGTTGGCAGAAGTTTTCAGAAAGCTGATAGAGGAGGAAACTCCTATTCATGGTCCCTTTTGGGAATCAGCTGTGGCATGAACTCCTGGTCTAACAGGCACAAGAAAGTCCACGAGCTCGTTCTGAAGAAATAACTCTGTAGGAAGCCTCTTGCTACACATGGGATTACTTCTTCTATTGCAGTGTGTAACAAGAGAGGCCATAAAGCTTATATGCAAAGCCCCACTACACCCTTTTTCTGCCAGCATTTGCTGAGGAAAAAAACCAAGCACATGTCTTCCCTGCCTTTGTGTGGCCTTTAGTGTGTGACTGGCTGGTAAAGCCCATCTGGGTATTGGGAGCAGGCTAGTCACACCAGCAGACCTCAGAACATGGTGAAGGTCTCAGCTCCCTCCTCTGCTAAAGGCACTGCTTGGACAGGAGGCCAGCACAGCCCATCAGCACGTCTCAGTCTCCTTTACACTGAGGGCTTGATGCTGCTTGCTGGAGGTATGGTAGGACGTGTGGTGTCAGTGTCCTCTGGAGCCCCTCACACAACAGACTGCAGCACTAATGCACACTGCAGTCTGCTGGCAGAGGCAGGCTGCAAGTCACCCATGACCTGCATTAAGCAGGGAGATGCTGGAGTGGAAAACAGCCTGTGAACAGACCATGCAGCATGTGGCCATGTCCTCCAGAAAGACCTGCTTTGGAACATGGCTGGAGACAGGAGCTGCTGCTTGTTGTGCTGCTTCTTTTAGCCTCGTGCTTTATTGCGCTGCAAATTTACACTGTGCCACCTGATGTGTCATGCTGGACACAGGCTGAGCCATCTTCACTCCACCCAGAGGCAGAGGCAGCTTGCACAGTCAGCAGTGCTGGCATCCTTCAGCAAAGCCTCTGCCTTCAGCTCTGCCAGCCTGTGTCTTCCTCTGCTGCACCACGGAGAGCTGGACAGACCCAGCATCACTGCTTCTAAAAGATACAGGTGCCCAGTCAGCCCCTCTTCATCGCTCAGGCAGGAGGAGGAAGAGAGGCAACATAAAAGCAGATGTGTTCTCACGATGTAAGTTTGTGCCTTCAGATTTTATGTTCCAATTTTAGACCTAACCCACCTAGGGAAACTTCTATGCTCAGCACTGCACACTTATGATCAGACATTCCTCTGCCAGTGTCCCGACAATTCAAGCAGCTGTAACAAATCACAGCCATAAAACCACAGAGGTCTTCAGGGGCACACCAACATGACAGGGATGCAGGAGAAGGGGCTTGAACTGTGCCCTTGACTCACATTTAAATCTTCTCCCAAAAAGGCCCAGAGGTCAGCAGGTGCTTGGGCTATGCCAACAGAGATCAGACATCCTCCTGGTCATCTTCATCTCTAAGGTGCTGGAAATTACCATCCCTCAAACATCTCCAGTCCAAAGGACAGAAAACAATGCTGGTTGATTTTGGGGGGGAGAATCTGAGATGTTTGGAGATCAGAAGACTTATTCAAGTGCTTGGGGAAGTCTTAGCAGAAGCTCTGTGGAGCTCTTGTGTCCAAAGCTGGTGCATGATCAACCTGCAAGGTTCTTCTCCCTCACTTTGTACCTGCCCTTGGCTAAAATTAGAGATCTCTGTGGTACACCCCTCATCCCCCCACTCCTGGCTGTGCTGCAAGGGATGGCTGTGCTCTGGCTCCCATCCCTCCTGCTGCCCTCCCTCCTCTCGCTGCTGCGGGGCTGTCACAGCCACACAGGCACCCAAACTGCAGATCAGCAGAAGTAGCTCCAATCCACACTGTTCCTCAGCAAAGGCAGCTCCCTGAGCTTGCTCACGCTGCACTTTCCCAGGCAGGGCCAGTACAACAGAAATGAGCAGTCAGGGTGGCTACTGCAGCCAGGAAAACATGTTTTAAAATTCCAGCTTTAAAGCTCTGGCTGACACTGTCTCTGCCAGTGGCCTGGTAGAGTTAGATAACGGTTGGACTCGATGATCTTAAAGGTTCTTTCCAGCGACAGTGATTCTGTGATTCTATAGCTGTCCCCAAACTGTTAAAATTGAAAATAACTCTCCTCTAAATTGACTTTCCAGGCTGACACCAAATTCAAAATTCCTCCTGAAAGATGTCCTTCAAAACCAGTACCTACACAGCTAGAGGCAAGAAGCAAAATGCAGCAGCCAGACACTGGCAGGGAGTGGAGGGTGCTGTTTGCCCAGCCAGAGACAGGCAGCTGCAATGCAGAGGTGCCAAGCAGTGAACCAAGCACCCTGGTCTCTGTCACGGGTGTGGAGAGAGACTGCCACTTCCAGATCACAACTCACCCAGCCCAAAAGCAGGTGTCAAAAACTAGTCTGGTGAAACAGATCTGAAAATTTCCTGTCTTTCCTTCCGGGGCACAGAAAGGCCATAGACACCCACCTCAGACAGTGGCGTGTGTGTAACAGGTATTTACAATCAGGAGAGAAGGAACATAATCCTCACCTTCCTCTGAATGTTAGTACAAGCAGTGCTGCCTTTTAAAATATCTATGTGCAGGAGACAATTTTTAAATGCTGAATCATTAACAAAGGAGACACGAGAAAGACAAAACCTAAAATGAAATCAGAGATGAGACACTAAAGCTTTAAAAAGTCAGCTAAAAATTAAATTGAAGTTTAGACCAATGGCATAATTTCTGGCAACAATGCCAGCTAGGCAGCCGGTGTGCTGGTTTAAGTTCAGCTCTAGCATCTCCCTCTGGTGCCCATCTGCCTGGCTCCAGCTGCAGTCTCTTGCCTTACAGCAGGCTATGAAGCCTCTGGGACAGGGACTGGCATTCCCTTCTCTGTCATTATACCACCTAGCACAAGGAGCCTTGTCACCCTCGCCAAGCTGTGACAAGGGTGCAAATAGTGCAGATAAAAAGCTCACCAAAGGATAATCCCCCTGGGTGACAGTGGCTTCGTTAGGATGTCTCTCCCAAAGTTGCCCCATTTTCCAGCCTCATTGCCCACTAACGGGTCTCAGGGCACTGACACTGAGATCAGAAGCCACTGGCAACATTACTCCCAGTAGCAGGTCAAAATCATGAAATACAGAGCCAGCTAGGTGGTCTTCCCTATGTTACAGAAAGCAAACCCCAATATAAAATGATTTTTTAATGAAAGAAGCAGATGAGGACACCAATACACTTTCAGCAGGAAATAAGATCTTCCCCTTCTGAAATAAGTGTCGGCCTTGGGCAGTTAAGATCTGCAGTCTCCTTTCAAGTCAAGCTCAGACAGATTGCAAATATCAGCACATACCTTGTTATGACAGTATTTTGCTCAATCCTGGCTCTGAGTTCTTCATTCTGCTGTTGCAGCATGGTGATTTTTTCTTCTAGTTTTAAATTTTTTTCAGCCTGCAACAGAAGAAGGTTTGTTAAGTCTGAAGAAAGCCCAACACCTGATCCAAGGGAATTTGTTCTTTATTTGTCCCTTCAGCAATGTCTAAGCTTTCAGGACAGGGGTGGTCATCTCGACTGCAGCTGAGACTCAGAGGTGTGAGTCGTGCCTCATCACACTGGTGAAGTAAGTGGGATCATGAGCAGGGGCAGAGCTGAACTGGCACTTACTTCTACCTGAGGAAAAGGAGGGTTTTAATCTTGTCCAGTGCAAAAACCCACATCTTCCTCAGTGATACCTCTACAACCTTCATCTCTCAGCAGCCAGCATAGTGTTGCCATCCATTGTTCTTGGACAGGGAGCTGGTGGCACTTGGGGAGCATGGGGATGCTCAGCATGGAAAGGGCACTGTGGTGTGAGTGGTCAGTCTAGGGATGAAGGAGGAGTGCAAGGTGGTATGACGTGCATCACCCAGCCCAACTAACCTCACTGGACACAAATGTCTGGTGTCCAGCCTCTAGAATTATGATTCCCTGGTTTTAGGGAGGCAAGAGTTACCCACCAAATCACATGAGGTGGGCTGCCCACTGGAGACACATCTCCACTGCTGACAGCGTTGGCTTGAATGGCAAGCTGGAAGGAGACATTTAACTTAAAGCTACAACCAAGTGCAATGAATACTGCCCCAGGTGTAGGTAGCCTGGACTCAGGACAGTCCAAGGGCAGAGTTTGAGGATGTCAATAGCAGTGTACTAAAACTTTAGTAAGATGTTTATAGCCATGTACCACAGCCTCATATGTCATTTTTTTCCAAGTTCTGAATCTGACGTATTTTATCACTTTAGTTTTCCACCAGCTTGAATTTGCTGAGTTCAACACTTTTGGAAGAAAATAAGATATCACAAGAGGATACCTTATCTCTGTGTCAGCTCGGTTATTGAATTCTCCAACCTTTTATACAGAACCAAATACTGTGCACTGGAATTAGCAAAAACTCACACTTTATGGAGCAGCCATCACTTTTATGCAGTAGTTTCCAGACTATGCAGGTAACCATAAAGGATATTCCTGATTCTCAGATATTCTCACTGATCCCAGTATATTTTATCAGAGCAGAACAAGGATCCTGGTCCTGTTTTGAAACACTATGAGAGAGAGGAATTGCTGTCACAGGCATCCTCCCTGCTTCATTAATAGCTTTAATAAGTAACAGCTATGTCAGCATGAAGCATGGGAGAGGACCTGTGCCTCTCCCTCCCTCTCCACTGCACTCACCCTATAGCACTCCTCTCTTGCCACCTTCATTTCCAGCCTCCCTTTCAGCAGACAAGGATTTGAGCCTGACTCTGACTCTCTATTTGAAATGTCCTCCTGCTCCCTCACCAGGCACCCCACCTTTCAGAGCATTTGGAGGTGCCCTGGAGATATTCTGGCACTGATAAAGGTAGATTTTTAAGCAGAAAGCAGTTGTGCCCTTGGACCACAGTAGACACAATGTGTTACTGTTACAAAGGGCAGGAGCAGGGCCGAGTGCTTGTATGTGGTTAATTAGCAAAAGCAGCTAAACGACCAGGAACTATGTAGGCTATTGTTTGGGATTTATTTTTTTTTTCCACTCTAACACTACAGTGCATGTTCTCAGGTGCTGGCTTAGCACCAGGAGCAGCGTGTTGGAAGGAGCACAGTTAACAAGCCTCAGTTGTAAAGAGGCACTTTTCTCTACATCCACTTACTCAAGCATCTGTTCAGCAAAATAATCATCAGAGTTCTCAAATTTCCCTGTAAATGGAAACAAATCTTGCTGAATGCTGTGCTGAGGCAGCTGTCCCAGCTCCCCAGCTGAGGTAGTGTCTCATCCTGTCACCACATTATACATTTACTGTCACTGTAGGTTATGCCTTACAAAATGAATTCCCTTTCCAACAAAAAAATGTAATTGATGGTGAACTGGGGAGTTCTTTGCTAGAGATCTCCACAAACAAAGGATGAGAAAACAGCATAGGCTGCAGAAAAGCATCACTTTTGGGTTGGAGAGACATTTCCTAGTGTGTGCCTTGCTAGGGACTGCCTGCTGAATATTGCTAACTCATACTCATGGCTGAGTGCTCCCTAAACACCTCTGTGAGCAGCAGCAAGACATACACGGCTCAATCTTCCTCCAGTTGTCCTCTCCAATGGTCACCTGGCTCCCATAGGGGCATACAGTGCAGGCTGGTGTACAAAATGAAGCCCTGGACTACCACAAAGTTCCCCTTCCTCCTGCACCACTCGCCTTACCATCTAATGCAAGAGGCTGAGCAGGTATTGCATGAAAAAGCAATATGGACCAATGGATGCCTGGGAGGAATCAAGGTGATCAAGGGTGGGTGAAGGGATGGGGAAAGAGCCCAATTTCTGAGTGAAACCCCAAGACATAGTATAGTAGAGGCAGCTGTGTAGGTTAACAATGGAACCACACAGTGTACAGCCATTTATGAGCCTCTTTGACTCTTGCCTCACCTTCACGTGTGTTCTCATCCCCTCTAAGTTCATCTGCTGTAGCCAAGCTTTTACTCCATCACCTCTGTGATGTCTCCTCTGAAGGAAAAATGACAACTCACCTGTTTTTCTAACTCCATAATCATCTTCTCCTGTTGGTGAATCTGATGGTTCTTCATTTCCAGAACATGTTTTAAGCTCTTCATATCTTTTTCTAAGTGCAGATATGGAGCTCGTGCAATCTAGGGAACACGACAGCAATTTGGATATCTGTCAGCCATAAATCTTCAGCTCTAAGATGAAGTTTTCTCCATGCACTCAGTGGTTTAGGAGAATCAATGATATGAAAACTGCCTGGATCTGGGCCTCCACAGCCCATCTGAACCCTGATATTCTCTCATAGAATCATAGAATCATAGGGGTTGGAAGGGACCTCGAAAGATCATCCAGTCCAACCCCCCTGCCAGAGCAGGACCACCTAGAGTACATCACACAGGAAGGCGTCCAGGTGGGTTTTGAATGACTCCAGTGCAGGAGACTCCACACCCTCTCTGGGCAGCCTGTTCCAGTGCTCCGGCACCCTCACAGTGAAAAAATTTTTCCTGATATTCCCCTTGAACCTCCTATGCTCCAATTTGCACCCATTGCCCCTTGTCCTATCATAGGTCATCACTGAAAAAAGCTTAATCCCATCTTCCTGACACTCACCCTTTACATATTTGTAAACATTGATGAAATCACCCCTCAGTCTTCTTTTCTCCAGGCTAAAGAGACCCAGCTCCCTCAGCCTTTCCTCATAAGGCAGATGCTCCACTCCCCTAATCATCTTTGTAGCCCTACGCTGGACTCTCTCCAGCAGCTCCCTGTCCTTCTTAACCCTCTCACACACCATCCCTTTGCTTGGATAGCCAACAGTACCCTTCTTTTGATCAGCCTCATGGCTAGAAGGATGGGATGCCACAGTGATCAGCAATCTCATTCCTACTCATAGCTTGGGAGCTGCTCAAAGTGTTTTATGATTGTGCAGGGATTTTGACTTGGTGAAAATACAAACATGAAAGTGAAGAAACTGGACAAGGGGGCTGGAGGTGAAAACTCCAGTGCTCTGCCTTTCCTGCAGCACTGCATCACAGAGCCTCTTAACAAAGATTGGATCTGGTGGGAAAAAATTCCTCCTCTGCTTGAGAACTGTAGAACTAGGGGAGACTAGGGTTCAGCTCATGGGCAAAAGATGTGCTGTGGATTATACGGATGAAATACTATTGCTGACTTAAGCTGTTCTGGATTTTTCCAGACTGTAACAGTGTAACTCACTCCATTGAACTGCCTGGTGGTATCTGGTATCAACATCTCTGTGGTACAGCATAATTTGTCCTTTCCTGTAAATTAAATACCGTGGTGGAGGTGGAAAGGGACCGGTGCTGCCTGTTGCCCATGGATGGCCAAGCCTGTTTCAGACATTTGCTCTCCTTTCCTAAGGAGTTCTCACACCTAAAAACTCACTGACCCCCTTGCTCAACCCAATATTTCAATTCTGTTCCCTCTGTCATGTTGATACAGCTGCCCACAGGGTTGTGTTGTGAACACACCAGAATGCCCCAAGTAAAAAGAAAACTCTTTTTGGAGGGTTGTTTAAGGGTTAATTTCAGATAAATAATTGCAGTGTGTGTTCACGTGCACATTGTAAATAAACAGCATGGTCCCAAAAGAGAGCAATTGAATAAATACTTCATGTGAGGGAACTGGCAGATGAAGTTGCTAAGCTGCTTCCCATATTACATGAAAAGTCATGGCAGTCTGGTGAAGTTCCTGCTGGCTGGAAGAGGGGAAGCATAATCCCCATCTGCTGACTGGAAAAGGGGAAGTATAACCCACATTTTCAACAAGGGAGAAAAAGACCTATGTAACTACAGGCCAGTCAATCTCACCTCTGTGCTTGGCAAGATCATGGAGCAGATCCTCCTGAAGGCCCTTCTAAGGCACATGGAAAATGAGGAGGTGACTGGTGGCAACCTACATGGCTTCTCCAAGGGCAAATCATGCCCGACACATTTGGTGGCCCTTAACAATTCAGTTACAGCGTCAGTGGAGAAGGGAAGAGCAAACGATGCCACCTACTTGGACTTGCACAAAATGTTTGACACTGTCCCACACAATAGCCTGGTCTCTAAACTGGAGAGGCATGGAACTGATGAACGGACCACTCCATGGCTGAGGAATTAGCTGGATGGCTGCGATCAAAGAGTTGTGGTCAATGGCTCTATGTCCAGGTGGAGATCAGTGGTGGTCCTCAGAGATCAATACTGGGACCAGCACTATTTGACATCTTCCTTGGTGACATGGACAGTGGCACTGAGTGCACCCTCAGCAAGTTTGTGGATGACACCAAGCTGTGTGGTGCAGTTGACATGCTGAAGGTAAGGGAGGCCATCCAGAGGGACAGACTTGAGAGGTGGGCTCATGCCCACCTCATAAAGTTCAATAAGACCAAGTGCAAGGTTCTACAGCTTGATCAGTGCAATCCCAAGCACAAATACAGGCT